TCAGTGAAAGCATTGCTTTCCAGTACTCCTCTCCTTGAAATGTTTCTACTTCCCTAGGAATAACAGAGTTTCCTCATTACCAGCACCTCCTGATTCATCCAACCTGAAGAGAGAACTTGATACAAGGAACAAACACAGTAACGAAGAAGGTAGCACCGTTAGAAATAATCACTCTGTCCAAATCAGCAAAAAAAAAAGTTCATTTATCCTTATTCAACATACTTTGACATTCAGCAGCCTAGTAATACAGGGTAAATAGAGCTCTCATTGCCATATATTGGTAACATTCACAATGGTCATGCATAATACAATCAGAAGTTTTCTGGGGTGCCGTTTGCAAGTAAGCCTTCATGCAGTTAGGCATTCAACTCATAAACTCCATTTTCCTATTTCCTATAAGTCCCTGAGTAGTTAATATTTCTACCTACAATATGGCTATTAAAGGCATTATAACCACCATTACACTTAGTTGATCGTAACGGAAATGCAATGTGGCTTTAGGAAGAAGCAGCACAGAAATTACAGCAAATTAGTGGTGACAAATACAGACTGCATTTTTAAAATGCTTTGTTTTTGTAAGCAAGGTAGCTGAAGAACAACAAATTATTTTAGTCATGGGTACAAAGTAGCCAGCTCCTCTTACCCTTCATTAGTAAGTCGCTACTGTGAATCCAGAGATCCAGGGCTCTGAGACCTCTCTAATTGAGCATTTCCTTTACACAAAATCATCTAGATTTTGACCAAATGTAGGGTCACCATGATCCTTCTTTTAATTACCCAACAGCAGTGGTTAAAGAACTTAAAAGAACCAGGAATCTTCTTTGCATAACAAATCTTTTCCTCTTCAATTAAAGTGATCTCTAAATTATTCAGAATTCATTCGGTGGTTTTTTTGGTGGACAAACTGCATTATTGCCAGCTGCTCAAAAACTATATGCTAGGGCTCCCAAAACAGGGGGACTGATTTAAAATTAAGATTCCGGGATGGGAGGGGCTGGGAGGAGGGAATGAAGACAAGTTCTTTCCCTTTGACTTCTGCCTTCCAAGCAGTTACAGATTGCATTTTAAAGCTCTCCCCTGCAATGTTCAGGGCTGGGTAATGACTTTAAAAAGAAAAAAGAAAACTGACTTTTAAGTAAGCACGCAACTCAAAAATATGTATTTTTTCAGCACGTGGTCTTGACAGTTACAAAATAAAAGTGTCACTTAACAAATGAATTTCCAGACTTAGCTTATGTCTTAGTACTGTAAATAAGTTCTTATAATATACCTCACCTGATTTTGTGTACTGTAGGACATTTTTTTTATTTACTACAGATGTTTTTGGATTTGCATACACAGTGTATTAAAACTATTACACAATGTAACTTATTCCCAAACATTTTAATTTCTGGTGAAATTTGCTAATCTTGATTTAAACTTCACATTATAATTATTTATTAAGAGATAAACTCTACAGAATTCTTATATATGGTCAGAAAGAAAGCCCTTCTGCCTCAAAACTTATTTCTAGCTATCATTAAAAGAATAAAAATATATTTTTTAATATTATGTTACAGAATAACTCTTAAATGACTAGCTGAAGGCCACTATACCTACAAACAATAATTAGCTTTGACAGAGAGTCAATGATGCCTCTACCAGTAGTTATTCAGGCTAAAGGTGAAACAGACATAATTAGCAACAATCTTTTGTTAAATGATTAATATCAAGAGGCTATCTAAATTTCACTATTCAAGAAAATTGGGAATAGACAAGATCTGTAGGAATTGCTGAGTTACTAGAAGCTGAATAGGTTACTCTAATGTAATAATTATTTTAGCAAAGAACAGCCTATGTCTTACAAGTTCTACTACAGCTTCTGAACTGCTCAAACAATTTCAACCCTGGTCAATTGGACAAAAACAAGGTAATGTATGTATTCTTACTGGCATACAAAATAACAAAATCTCAATACTTCAGAAAAAAAAAAACAAAGAAAAATCCTGTTGACTGCTGCAGGCTTCAAGTAGGAGATTTACTGAAGTTTTTCTTCAGTTCAATTTTTGTTACTATAATTACTCAATGGAAAGGGATTGTGGTAAAATGCTTGGTAACATTCTTACTAGACAAGTGTACTACCTCAAGAAGGAGTAATGCTTTTGAGCTAAACTCATTGATATACAAATACACTTTTTCAAGTTTTCTGGGTAGTGTGCTCGGTCAGAGATAATAATAAGATAAGAAATGTTTTAAAAGGCAACTAGTCTACCACCTTACTGTGGGGTTTAGGCTATTATTTGCTCAAAGCCCTACTTTGGACCCTCTACAAATAGAATTCTCAGAGAGTAAGTGATAGGGAAAAATACAGAAATACCTAACAGCAGATGAACCTAAAATAGATGAGTTCTTAGAAAGCATTACTACTTATGTAGTATTTTTACTAACAAGATGTTCTCTGCAAATCTTAAAGTCAGACTGCATTTGCTGCACTTGTTTCAGCACATATCAATCTCGAAGTAGCTTTAAAAATCAGAAGGTTTGACAAGGTAGTCACAGTGTCACAGAATATAGTATGGGAAGCTTGGGAAGCAAACTAAGGTCACTGGCTGACACTAAGCTCACTACTGCTATGAGTGTATTACCATAAGCCATTGCCAGCTTACACCTCTGAACTAAAGAACTACCAGTAAAAACCTGCATCCACGCAATAGATCTGCCTGCACTGTCAGCTGAGAACATTGATATTAAAATCTAGGCATGGCATATTCAAAATTCGTTTTATTGAAAACTGAGACTTTGAGAAATCAATATGCATTTCTGGTCACCAATAATAAACACTAGTTATTATTTCAGTTCATTTTCAACCTCTTCCCTGCAACTCCCAACCTCCAGAACCTCAGCTGCCATCAACTTTAAGCTTCTGTCCTCCTTCACAGGCTGAAATTGGTCCAAGATTACAACAATACTTCTGGGTGTGAAGAGTGCTGCAGACCAGATTTGTATTAAAGAAGAGGCTGTAACTGATTTTAAATGAAAATAGAAACGAACATTGAAACTAGTTTCTTTGGAGAGAAACCATTGCGGGCCCCAGAAGACCTAGACAGCACAAAAGTGATACTTGTTGATGAAAAAAGTCATCTTCAGTCAAATCAAAGAAACACTTGTAGGCTGTATGAAAAGCACAGCTGAGCTATTTCCAAAGTAAACAGCAGGAATTCACACACAAAAGCTGAGCAATGGATGGTTTTAGGGAGCTGATACAGGGATATGAATTTAAGAAAACTTAAAACTTCCTAGACCACTCCCACTATCAAACATTTAGGAACATAATACTCACTGGAGAATATTTTACTGAGAATAAATATTTTGAAGACATAGAAAAATAGTTCACAGCATCAAGGTACCTGTAATATATTACCTTGAAATAAAACTTGTATTTAAAAGATTAAAAAGAGAAAATTACTCTTGTAGTGGTATCAACTTCTCATTCATACAAATATTAAGCAGAGTATATCTGTTTTTCATATATTCACATTATTGCTTGCTACCACAACTGTACAAGGAAGAAGGAAGATATTCATAGCTTACATTAATGTTCATGTACAGTAATTTTAGATACATAAAGCAAACCTTAAAATATAGGTAGCAATTTAGAAAAGCTATGTGTGAAGATATGTACAACTAAGATGCAAGCAGAAGAAATGAAATACAACTGGCCTGACCCAAGCATACATCATATATCCAATTTAAAAAAAAAAGTCTTTATACTGTGCAGAAAGTAAGCTTTGTAAACCAAAAGCAGACAATGAGCAGAAGCAAGGGTGCAGTACATAATTATATAACATAATTAAATTTACACTGCTGACCAGCATACCTTATTTTGATAACTTCTGACATATGGCACCTGCATTTATATCCAGAATTGTACTACTCAAGATTAGCCCAATAACTTTCTTCTGCTTATGTGGCTTAAAATAAAATCAAAAATGAAAAAAAAAAAAAACCCAACAAGTTCAAAAGGTCTGCTTGGAGAAAAATTTTAGTAAAACAATTCCTTCTGCACCCCTGTACACTGTATCTGGTAAACAATACAAATAAAATGATACATGGCATTAGCCTGAATTAAAACTGCTACATTATAAACCAATATAAAATATTGGTTTATGTACTAATATATTGTTGAAATCTTCAGTTCTACTAATCAGATGCATGCAATTCGTTCAACAGTTTTCTAATATGAGTAAAGTAATTCTATTTTGCCTTTTTTCTTCTAAGTTTAGAACTTCTTCAGAACCAGCTGACAGGACTTCTTCATGAAAAGCACAGAGATTCCTATTAATGCAATGGCATATGGGTTCCAAAAAGCACAATTTCAAAAGGAACTTTATTACCTTCTTTTTGAAGAAGCTAGCCAATATCCAAAAAGAAAAAAATATTTACAACTGACTAGTCACTGACAAAAGTTTAGGTAGATCTTTGATGGTATTTCAGCACATAAACTAATAATCAAAAGGACTTACACAATGTACAATCAAACGGTTTTGTCATTTTGGGGTAAAAAAAATACCTGCTCACTTGTAGAACATTTTCAGCTGTGTATTTATAGTAATATATGTACACACGCGCGCACACATAAAAGACTCTCTGGAAATCAAGATACATTAACAAACAGAAATAGTAAAAGTAATAACTTAAGTAGTAGTTAACATTTGCATGAAATGACTTTGCAGAGTTTGACCAAATGCACTTAGAACATGCTCTTATTAAAACAAATGAACAAACAAAAACAAAACAAAAAAAGAATGGAAACACCACAAGAGTCTGTAGAACCAATGCTATGTCACCACCAGGAGAGCACCAAGCAAGGCACCATTGGAAAGACAACATACTTGAATAAGTCTCTTAAAAATAAATCAAATGCTAATCTGGTCGAAAAATCGGTGTCTTTGGTAAAAATTCTATAAGGATGACCTGCACAAAAAGAAAAAAAACAATATTAAATGGCAGTAACAACCCCATTACTTATCACAATCATAATGCACTTTTTTTGTTGTTGGTTTTACTTTGAAGTCCATCAGGTAATAGTATTTTCAACAGGTACAGAAATCATGTTAAACAGAATGTTTTGGAGGAAGAAAACCATAACTAGTAAAGAACCAAGAGGAAACAAAAAGGTTTGTCTGTTAACATTAAACACATCTTAAACTGGAAGAACCAAAAAATGTATGCAACATCCACTTTCAATTACATATGCAATTCTCTTGGAAACTGTTTCCACTCAGTACAGGATTCTAAAAACAAGTCTACACTTTAAAACTCATATAGAAATTTGTATCAACTACAGAAAAATTTGCATATCAAACAAACCTGCAAGTAGTTAACAGGAAACTTAACTAATGTTTCCCTATGATTATGCTTCAGGTCCCTATTCAAATTTTAACTACACAGATCCAGTATTGTAAGGTCAAGAATGCAGTTCAAGTAGTTATCTTGTTTTATATTTAAACAGAAAGCTTCAAGAAAATATTTAAGTGTGCACTTTCATTCTTCATGAAACTACCAAATAGCATGATGGTTGTATTAGTGAAAAATAAACACATTTGGTAATATAACTAAAGATTTCATTTACTTGTAAGGGGAGCTTGGTCTTCTATAGAGATAAAAAGAATTTCTAAACTTTTTTTTTATCAAAAAGAATAATAGAATTTGCTGCATAGGGTATAAATAAATGCTCCCATCTGATTACATACCGAACACAAGAAAAGAAAAAGTATCTCTGATATGACTTATGAGGCCAACTCTTTTGAGAAAATTGAATGGTATATAAATAATTTTAGAAACACTCAGAAGTGGTTTGATCTCCTGAGAGCAGAATGCAATGCAAGCAGCTGAAAACCCACTGATAGTTGATGTGAGATGACCGCTGGATGCTGGAGAGCTCCCAGAGCTTCTGATATTCAGGCAAGGTTTAAAAAGAGCAAGAAGAAAAGCTGGAAGTCTGTGTTTATGCCAAGGAAGTATGACCACCTTACACAATTTAGCGTCTCCAATAGTGGGTGTAGAATGCGAAGCAAACAAGGCTGCATATTTTCTGTACAGGAACCTAATTTAAAGCACTTGTTTTGACAAAATATATATATTTAAAATTAAATCAGAACTACAACATTTCAGGTAGGCTTTTTAAGAGACTAGCAAATTAGTTAACCAAAACTGAGGAAATGATATAAGGAAGTTTTAAAAATCTGATTAAACATATCCATAAATTGCATATTTGATGTTTTGTTTCACAAACTGAAAATAAAATCTTAGACCATCACCCTGTAAAGCTCTACATCCATTCTTGCATATTAATGCAAATAGTTCCTATCATTTTAAACTGAATTTGACATAAGAAATGACCATCTTAAAATGCTGCTAAGCCACAGTATTTAAAAACTGTCATTTTTTGTTGTACTTATTAAATTGAATCTACAAAACATTGGATGGAACAAAGTTATTCTTTAGAAAAATAAATCAGTGAAATATAATTCTTAATTAAGGAGAAACTCGAATTTACTTTTGTGAAGTTTGCTTTATGCAAACTTATCTAAATTAACAAGTTTTGTGGAAAAGGTGATAGGAAGTTCCTACTTATTCAGTAAACTGAGTAGAGCTATTCTGCAAAAGAAAAGGGAACTTGAAAATCGTATGTTTCAGGTTAGAAATCAGATCTAGTGTAGAAATAGGGAAATAGAAAAGGCTAAAGGGAAAAGGTTAATATAATTTCCTACTATTTAATCAGGCTTTAAATCAATTTTACATGCCTGATAGCTTTGTTGTTTCAAAAAATAGACAAAGTATCATACAATGAAAGATCATAGATAAGTTAGAACTATACAGTAGATATTTCTCAAAGATTACTTTTTTAAAAAGTCACCTACTTCCCAGAGGATTAAATGAAATTCTGCAAATTCAAATAAATCTTACATTTTAGCAGCTTAATCTCACCCTCTCTAGTACCCTCTGTGCATCTCCAAGAGATTTTCAAAATGGAAGCATAAACAGCATCAAGAACAAGTAAGAATGCTGCCAGCTAAACAAACTGAAATCCCACACAGGACATAATATATTATACATGTAAGTTATCACTGTGCATTTCTTAGAAAGGCTTATGTGGTCTCAGCCAAAGACTGGAATTTTGATTTTAAATGATAAACTTAAAAATATTTTGTGATGTCAATTTGATATAAATATACTTTCAAGACATTTGAGATAAGGGGCAGTTGAAACCCAAGAAGGCTAATAAAGGTTTCTTAAGCTCCAGCAGCTTAATAGAAAAGTCTTCTTCCATACTTTTAGACTTGATTAGCATCATATAAAACAGCCATATCTGACTTGCTGCGTAACCAAAGTTGTGATTATTCTTTATACAGCATCTAAAATTTCACACTCCATCAGCACATGTTCGAGCTATTTTATCTTGGCAATTAATTTATTATTTTTTAGAACACAGTGAAGCCTTGTTTTCAAGTCATTCAT